AAAACGTCTCAAAACGTCCAAAAATGTCCAAAAACATCCAAAGATCTCCCAAAACATCTAAAGATGTCCAGAAATGTCCAGAAATGTCCAGAAATGTCCAAAAACATCTCAAAAACGTCTCAAAACGTCCAAAAATGTCCAAAAACATCCAAAGATCTCCCAAAACATCTAAAGATGTCCAGAAATGTCCAGAAATGTCCAATAACATCTCAAAAATGTCCAAAGATCTCCCAAAACATCCAAAGATGTCCAGAAACGTCCAAAAACATCTCAAAATGTCCAGATACGCCTCAAGATGTCCAAAAACATCTCAAAACATCCAAAGATGTCCAACAAGAACCAGGTCCAACAAGAACCAGGTTCAACAAGAACCAGATCCTCACCAGGTCCAACAAGAACCAGACCCAACAAGAACCAGACCCAACAAGAACCACCCAAACCGCCAAAGCGACCGAGACCCTCCACCGATTCGTGCCACCAAACCCCACCCTGGTCCCACCACCACCTCCAAACCTTCCCAACCCCCCCCAAACCTCCGGGGATTTGGACCTCCTGGAGGCACCTGTAGAACTTGTAGATGGCCAGCTTGATGTCGGCCTCGTTGGGTTTGCCGTTGCCGCGCAGGCTGCAGAAGATGCTCTTGATGCGGCCCACGCGGAAGGGGTCGGGCGCGTCCAGGTTGCTGCCCTTGATGTACTCCGAGTACTTCCGGTAGTGCTCGGGGTGAAGCTCCTCGTCCACCGCCTCCTTCTTGGGCCTCTTGGCCGGGCTGGCCGGCTTCACGCTGGGGGAAAAGCGGGAAGAGCGGCCCCGGAACGTCGGGATGGGGAGAGCGGGGCAGGTGGGGAGGTCTTGGAGGGGTTTTCCAGCTTTGAGTTTGGTTTGTCCACCAAAAGTTGGGTGAAGGTTTGGAATTGAGGGATCTTGGAGAAGTTTTTGAACCTTGATTGGTTCTACAGTTCCATAATTCCAATTTTTCCACCAAAAGTTGGGTGAAGGTTTGGAACTGAGGGATCTTGGAAGAGTTTTTGAACCTTGATTGGTTCTACAGTTCCATAATTCCAATTTTTCCACCAAAAGTTGGGTGAAGGTTTGGAATTGAGGGATCTTGGAGGGGTTTTCCAGCCCTGATTCCAATTTTTTTGTCAGAAGTTGGGTGAAGGTTTGGAATTGAGGGATCTTGGAGAAGTTTTTGAACCTTAATGGGTCCTACAATTCCGTAATTCCAATTTTTCCACCAAAAATTGGGTGAAAGTTTGGAATTGAGGGACCTTGGAAAAGTTTTAGAGCCTTAATTCCATAATTCCAATTTTTCCCCCCAAAACCGGGTTAGAATTTGGACCTCAGGACCTTGGATGGATCTCCCAACTCCAACTCTTCCATCCTGCAATTCCCAACCTCCAGCTCCCCCCCAAACACCGGGATCAGAGACACCACCAAACATCCCCAAACCCAAACCGGGCTCGTTTCCACGCTGAACTTCCACAAATTCAAGGTGGCTCCACTTTTGGGTGGGATTTCCCAAATTTTCCCCAAAATCCCGCCCGGAAGCCGCGATTCCCAAAGCCACCTGAAGGAGAAGGCCTCCGGCAGCAGGTAGACGCCGTCCCCGACGCGGTACTGGACGCCGTTCTTGGTGGCCACGGCGTAGAACATCTTCCCGTCGGCCTCCTCCAGCGGCTCGGCCACCTTGGGGATCTCCTTGTGCCTCACCTCGTCCAGGCGCGCGCAGCTCATGCAGAACCTGCCGGAGATCCACCAGGTTCTCCTCCAAAAAAACCACCTGGGGTTTTGGGGGTTTTGTTTTTTTTTTGGAGATGGGAAGAACCTCCGAGGTTCCCACCCCGAAAACTGACTTGTACTTGTTGTCCTCGGTGGGGCGCGCGCCGGGCGGGCTCTCGAAGCGCGCGTACTCCTGGTCGTACCACATCTGGTAGAAGTAGGTCCTCCCGTCGTCCTCCACCATCTTGATCTCCGTGTCCAGGCCGCCCTGAGGGCCAGAAGCACCGGGATGGACCGGGATGGACCAGGATGGACCGGGATGGACCAGGATGGACCAGGATGGAGCAGGATGGACCACCAGGATGGAGCAGGATGGACCAGGATGGACCAGGATGGAGCAGGATGGACCAGGATGGACCACCAGGATGGAGCAGGATGGACCAGGATGGACCGGGATGGACCGGGATGGACCAGGATGGACCAGGATGGACAAGGATGGACAAGGATGGACAAGGGTGGACCACCAGGATGGAGCAGGATGGACCAGGATGGACCGGGATGGACAAGGATAGACCAGGATGGACTGGGATGGACCAGGATGGACAAGGATGGACCAAGATGGACAAGGATGGACAAGGATGGACCAGGATGGACCAGGTTGGAGCAGGATGGACCAAGATGGACGGGGATGGACTGGGATGGACCGGGATGGACCGGGATGGACAAGGATGGACCGGGATGGACAGGGATGGACCGGGATGGACCACTCTGACCGCGCTGACCCAACCCCGCGGCGCCATCCCCACCTCCATGGCCCAGTTGTCTGAGGGCGCCTTGTAGATGACGTTGACCTTGCCGTGGATGTAGGACAGCTGCATGTCCTCGCACTCGTCCACCAGGAACAGCTCCAGAGGGTCCGAGGTGGCCCCCAGGACGGTGTCCGAGCCCGGGCAGAACCAGTGGGCGTGGAACATCTGGCCACCGCTGTCCTCCCACATGGCCGTCACCCTGAGGGGCACCGCGGCGTGAGAGGGGACGGCGCCGTGTCCCCAAACCCACGGGAGAACCCACCTGGCCTGGTGGGATCATCAGGGATGTCCCCAAACCCACGGGAGAACCCACCTGGCCTGGTGGGATCATCAGGGATGTCCCCAAACCCACGGGAGAACCCACCTGGCCTGGTGGGATCATCAGAGATGTCCCCAAACCCACGGGAGAACCCACCTGGCCAGGTAGAGGGGATCGGTGGGGATGTCCCCAGCCCCACAGGAGAATGGAGAACCCACCTGGCCAGGTAGAGGGGCTTGGTGGGGTCGTCGGGGCTCACGGACACGCAGTCGCCGACCTCCAGGGTCTCGGAGTCGATGCAGACGCGTTGGTAATAATCCTTCTTGCCATCGCTCTGCCGGGACACGGGCGCGGTTACAGGTACCGGCCTCACCTGGATGGGACCTTCACCTGGATGGGTTCCTCACCTGGATGGGACCTTCACCTGGATGGGTTCCTCACCTGGATGGGACCTTCACCTGGATGGGGCCCTCACCTGGATGGGTTCCTCACCTGGATGGGTTCCTCACCTGGATGGGTTCTCTCACCTTTCCAGGTCCCCTCACCTTCCCCAGCCCCTCACCTGGATGGGTTCCCTCACCTTTCCGGGTCCTTCTCACCTTTCCAGGTTCCCTCACCTTGATGTGTCCCCTCACCTGGATGGGTTCCTCACCTGGATGGGTTCTCTCACCTTTCCAGGTCCCCTCACCTTCCCCAGCCCCTCACCTGGATGGG